GGGCTCGCCGAGCTGGTCCCCCGCCGCCTGGCACTGCGGGCGGTTCAGGGGTTCTGCCTGAAGTCCTCACTACGTGAAACGGCGCTGTCCTTCGCGTTTAAACTGCCCGTTACATATAGTCACCTGCGCCATGGGACCCAGCAGCCCTAATCTGCCCTCACGGCCTGTGCTCGTGGTGTCAGCTGTTCTTTACAAACTTCGTACTTACCTTTGTGCCGCAATAGGAAGTTTAGTCTTGCCAGCCCCTTCTTGGAGGCTTTTTCTGTTGTACCCACTTTATTTTTTTTCGTTGAGTATCTTCTGCTATATAATTTTTGAGATAGCGGTTGAGTACACAATACTTCTGACCACACCGCTTTATATATAAACATTACAAAATTCCCCACAGTTTTCTCTATTCCTTTCTTTACATGTCTGAACACCTTTGTTTGTTGCAATGCTCCTGAGGAGTGAGCAGCAAGAGCTGTTACACTGTTCACAGTGATGTCCGTGTCTTTTTCCTCAGCAGATACAGCTAATTTGCCTTTTGATAGGATGCTGAGTTTGTACGATTTCCTTCCATATTGTAACACGGGATGTTCACTGCTGTCTCCTTGCCTGTTGGTCCAGCTTTTAAACACCGCTCTGCAGCACGCTCTGGTGCTGGCTAACCTCGACGCTGACGTGTCTGCCGCTTTCTCACACCACTCATAAATATAGGAAATGGCGTGAACACCGATGTTCCCTGCCCTTGGCCCTTTCCGTGGTGATGAAAACCGGGCGTATCGTACCACGCTGCCAGGGAGCAGCGCAGACCGGGCGCTCCCGAAGCAACAGGGAGGCAGCTGCGCTAAGATGGCCGCCAGGGCCCAGCCTGGCCCGTCCCCCTGCCCCGGGGAGCACGGCCCCCGGGCGCAGCCCTAGCCCCGGCTGGGGGGCGTCAGGCACCGCTGCGGGGCCAAGCCGGAGCCGTAGGGACGGCGACAGGAGCAGGCAGCGTCGCAGGGCAGTGACCGACGGCCCCAGGCTGGGCTGAGATGGGGGCCCAGGGAACCACAAGGGCTGCCGGGGCCCCCCAGGGCCAAGGCACACGCTTTGCTTGCTTTCTTCTGCCTAGTTTTTGGTCTACGACAAACTTCTGCCTTTCTGTGATTTCTTAGCTTCTTTTAATGGTTGCTTGTGCTGGCGTTATGTCAAGGCTTTTTGAAAACCTCTCAGCCTGTTCTGTTTCGTCCATCACATTACTGATAAATTTTAGAACTGTAAGAGATTGGCGTGATTTTTTTTTTTTTTTTGCAGAAACCATGCTTAAAAATCATCTAGAAATGTTCTTACTCTTATTTTCAATTACTATTTCAACCAATTAATAAGCCAGTCTGCAGGTTTATCATTCCCCAGTTGCCCATAAGACACGTTTTCAAATATTGGTACAAGCCTGGCAGAACAAAGAGCACCATTAAGCGCCTTAGAAGTTGTACAGATGCTGTCACGTTATACTCTAGTCAAGTTTAAAAAAACATACAAGTTTTCTTAAATACCACTTCTGTTTTGGGGCATTTTGTGTCCATGAATTTCTGTCATTAAAAAGATATTTTGCTTTCCTGTGGCTTTTGAAAAATACCACACAAGCAGTAGATAAAGGCAAATCTGCCGTCTGCTTCTGAAGCACTTGGGCTTTCTGTGGACATAGGAATCGGAGGATGTGGAACAGCTTCAAGAACTGGGGGCCTATCCAACCACATGCCGTGTTGTGAAGCGTACAGAGTGAGAAAACCTTAGAAAGCATCCACTCTAATTTTTACTGACCCTAGAAATTTAAGTTATAGTAAATGAAAGCACACTGGAACACGACGTTCTTATAAACAATTCTGTGTTAAAGTGGTGATAGTATTTCATAAGATCTATGAGATCAACATTTCCTCTTACTACAAGCACCAGAGCTTCCAGCTTCACGTTGGCTGCAGTCTAGCACGAAGGCCCAGATTAACAAAACTCACTATAGAACTAGGTTCAGGTAAGTAAAAACACCTTGCTACTGCCTTACCTGCTCAGGGACACAGTTAAGCAGTCATTTGTGAAACTGATCTTTCGTTGTCGATCATCCTCAAGATCTTTGATCTTTCATGCTCCCAAACATTTTAATTCTTCAGAAAGGTTTCAATACTTTATTTTTTAATATAGTTCAGTACAAATGTGTATCTGGTAGGATAGTTAAAGAGTCTGGGAAAAGACATGTGGCATTTCCATTTCTTTGAGAGTGCTGATGTTTGTGATACACTAGTTACAAACTTTTTCTAGACTTTACTCTTGAATGACATCATGTTGAATACAGAAATAGGAGAGGATTCAGTTTTTTTAGAAAGACCGTTTCCTTTGCATGAAGTCAATTTTTCACTCCTTCAATGTTTTGAATTTTAAAGATATTGTAACATTATGAGACAAGGCGGTCGACTGCGTTAAGTCACTGCACTAAGAGTTCGGAGTTCTAGGTTTTGCCAAACTTCCTCTTGGGGAAACGCAGGCAGAAAAGCTCTACCAGCGCAGGTCCGGCCTACTTTTCCTGCCGTTGCAGCATCCCCGTTTGTAACAGAGAAAAAGGTGAACCCCGTATGCGCGTGCTGGATGCCCGGCCGTCGTTCACCGTGAGCGTGCTCTGCACGTTTAAACACTGAATTCTGGGGGTGCTTATTCCTGGGGGACTTCAGATTTGTCACCAGAAATAAAACGCCACGAAACTCAACCGCCGCGCTGGGTCTATGGGTTGCACCGCTCCCCGCAGAGCCCGGGCGGGCAGCGCGGCGCCCGGACCCAGGTGCCACCTCCCTCCCTCCCTCCCGCCACGGCGCGCGCGACGCGCAAAGCGTGCGCCGGGGGCGCTGGTGACGCCATCGGGCGGCGCCCGGCAGGGG